AAAAAAAAAAACTTGGAGGGTCAAATTTGACACGATTCCAATACTTTTCCGTTTTATATACATAACAAGTTGGTAAGTAAAAAGGAGTCGGAGTCGGCGGATTTTTTGACGACTCTGACTCCGACTCCACAGCCCTGATTACCTTGGAACAGAGACAACTGAATACACTGAAAAGCGACAACACTGCACTAGTTCACACTATAATCAGTGTTACTGAATCATTGTCTCCCTGCACCAGAAGTGACACAAAGAGCAACTCACGAAACCTATGACACAAAGCTTGCCATTTTCAAACTCTCACAAATTATTTTCAATATTTTTCATTAAAATCTCGCGACCCCAAGATTTCGCTAAGCGATCCCAAATGGGGTCGCGACCCATAGTTTAAGAAGCCCTGCTGTAGATAAATATTTATATGGTTTTACATTTAAGTAAATAAAAATAACTTAAGTAATAATAAATAGTTCTTTTTGTAAAGTATTTCTTTTCTTTTTTCACACCTTTATGAGATAACACTAAAGAGCCTTTCTGGCAAGCTCAGTGCAAGTAGTCGTAGTTAAACAGGGGGCGGCATAATCGGTATTACACACGGGCGTTCAAACAGCTAGCGGCACCCCTGCCAATGGGAACATGCATAGGTCCAAGACTTGCTGAAATTTGTATGATAGATATAGATAAAAAAATTAAAAATATGAATGGAATAGAATTTTATAATAGGTATGTGGACGATTGCATTATTTTACTTGATTGTAGAAAAACTAGTGAAGATTTAATTCTAAAACAAGCAAATTTAATAGAAACTAATATACAATTTGAAATAGAAAAATAATTAAATAATAGTTTAAATTATTTAGATATAATCATCAATAGAACTGATAATAATTTAGAATACCAAAAATTTATAAAACCTATGCAAATACCAAGGGTACTCAATTATAAATCTAACATTCCTCAAGCTTTGAAATTTAATATTTTCAAGCTGTATATAGATAAAAGTAAAAATAGAACAAGTAAATTAAAAAAAATCAGGAAATAAAAATAGAACAAGTATTTAAAACGTTTTTACTTAATGGTTATACTAAAAAAATATTAGAAAAATGGTTAAGCTGGATTAATTGTAACAGAAATAAAACTGAAAATTTTGATAAAGATAAAAAATGTGTAAATTTACCATATGTACCCAAAATTTTTGAAACAGTTAAAAATCTATTAAGGGGAAAAGTTAATTTAATACCCAAAAAAAATAATTTATTTAAACATTATTTATATCACAGATCTGATAAAAAAAATTAATTTAATGGAAGAAAAAGAAATAGTTTATTCATTTAATTGTGATTTTGATCCGGCAAAAACTTATATTGGTGAAACAAAAAAAAATTGGGTATTAGAATAAAATAACACATACGAGCAATCAAAGGAAATTATGCGAATTCTGCTGTTGCAGAACATTGTAATAACCACAGGTGCTAAATTGATTTAAAAACTATAAAAATTAAAAAGAAAGAATCTAATAATTACAAAAGGCAATTATACAAACATATAAATAAAAAAAAAAAAAAATAGAATAAATAATAACTTAGGAAGAATAATCCACCAATCAGGGGACACCATACTTGATGACATGTACAAACAGCAAAAGGTTTAAATAAGTGATAAACTCACAGTCATTGTTGTTGTAAGTTCATGGCGAATGTAATTATTATGATGTAAGTTGGAATTTATCAGTTATAATTATAATCTTTCTTAAAATTTATTAATGTAATTTTGCTTTTATATAGAAAAATTAATTTAAGTAAATTGGCAATTGTTAAATTTGGAAATATAACTCTTTTGTTCAAGCGATTAGGATCTGTTCTTACTGTAAGTTTTTTTTAAAAAATGATTTCATTGTTGGGAATTTTTATACATATGGTCTTATTTGTTTATTGAATTATTTTTAGCTGTTTTGGTAATACTGCTGATAAGAGGTATGTTAAATTAACCCAAAACACACATAAATATATGTGTACAGAAAAAAATTACTACTACAGGTGAATTTTAATAAAGGATTTGTTTTTTCTGATCTAACTGTCAATTTTGTATCAAATATAAACACTAGTGTAACGTCCTACTAATAAACAAGGTCTGAGTAGACAGTTAAGGATAAAATTCACTTGTACATTTTTCTCAGTGTTTCTTGAAAAACATATAAACAGGATTTGACTGTATAGCAAAAAGCATTCAACAGAGCTGCAAAGTAGGATGTTTAAGCTATAATCACCAATTATCATGATTACATGTGTAGTACAAAAAATAAATATAAAAAATGATATATTACATATAATGCTACATTGAACTTAACGCTTTGGTGGATATGCCTGTGGTAACTTGCCACAAGATGGAGATAAAGTCTTTTGTTAGACTTTGTAGTTAATTACTGTGGAAGTGCACTTTTAATATTCTCTATTCATACCAGATGTTACAACATACATACAAAATAGGTTCAGTTTTACTAACCATTTAGTTGTTATTGAGGTTTGAGTTAGGTGGTATTGTATCTGCAGTGTAACTGCTGCTACACAACCTGCAACGTAAGTATAATTTCCATTTACTTTTCTATTTATTTTTTTAATGTATTTAAAAAAATAGCTTACTGTTTGCAAATTTATTGAATAAATATGTTAAATGAACAATGTTGTAGGTTTCTATAAATTCTTAAACTTATATTAGTTTGAAAGTATTCCAATTAGCTTTTGAAAAATCTATATTTTATTATTGTTTCTAGGTCTTGTAAACCTTTGAACCAGAAAGAGTTGGAAGGAGCTTTGGAACAAGTTTTGAGAGAATTGATAGAAGAAAGAGAAGAGACAGAAAAAATTAATTACAGCACTGAAAGTGAGTCAGAAGGAGGAGGAGATTATAGAAGAAAATTATCATGATAGTGACTATGAACAATCAGCAAATGAGATAGATAACTTTGTTGTAGAAGAAAATAGTCAAGAGGGCAGAAAGAGAAAGATTATTATTGTTTCTTCATAGGAAAAGACAAGGAAACTCTGTGGATAAGTAAATCTCTTTATTGTGAAAAGATAAAGGCAAAAAAAAAAAAAAAAAACATTATGAAAATATTAAAAGCCCAAAAGCTACTGCCAAAATTACAAATAAAGAAATATATGCATTCCACTTGCTTATTACTGATCAAATGATAAATGAAATCATAATAAATATCAACAGATATATTCAGTAAATAAAGGGCTGAAGTCAAGGATAAAAGAGAGAGAGACTGCAAAGATACCACCAAAACAGAAATAAAAGCCCTTTTTGGAGTGTCATATTTGATTAGTATAAAAAAAGTGTGTCACACTAATTGCTGTGAGCTCTTCAGATGGTCAAGATGGTACAAACATGATCCTTTTACAGGGCCTTTTCAGTTATAAACATTTTCAATTTTTGCTTCATATTCTTAGATTTGACAACTTAGAAACAAGGGATGAACAAAAAACAACTAATAAGTTTGCACCAATTTGAGAATTTCATCAAGCATTTGTCAACAATTGTATATGCAGTTTCAATGTCAGTGAGTTGATCTAAAAGTGTAGCATCCTCTAAAATTATGAAGAAGCTTCATAATTTTAGAGGATGCTACAGCTTTGTATTTCTAATAAGCCTGCAAAATACAACATAAAAATATATGCTCTATATGATACTAAGACTTTTTATACTCTTAATTTTGAGATTTATTATGGAAAGCAGGTGCAAGAACTCTACAAGTGATTAAACAAGGCCAATGATATAGTGAAGAGATTAGTCATACCAATAGAAAAAACAAAAAGAAATATTACTGACAATTACTACAGTAACTGTCCTTTGGCCATAGTGTAAGGAACCAAGTCTGAGCTTTATTTTTATTTTACTTTTATTTTGCTTTCATTATATTTTGTTTGGGGCTTATGTTTAGTTAAGACGAAGGTTTCCTCACCATTCACCTTAGTAACTTAAAAATAGAAGAAAAACCAACTCACCGACGAAAGAAAAGCGCCGTAGAAAAACTCGCGCACACTTGCGCTTCCCAAGCGGAAAAAAGTAAGTCCGCACCGAGAAAAAGGGGGGGGAAAACCCCACAACCCAGTTAGGAATCGCTAAACCTTAAAAGAATAAAGCATCCCGATAATTGTTAAAAAGAATAATGTAAAAGGTTAGCGAAGTATTGTCGGAAAATAATCTGCCAGATAAACAAGAAAAATTTAATGTTACAGATAAGTATGTAAATGAGGAGAGTGAGCTCATTCAGAATTGTGACGTCACCTCACACTATAAAGCCTCTAACTCAAGTGAAAACGAACGAGGTGAATTCCTGATAGCAACGAGCTTTGGTGAGCTTCGTAGCAGTGAACGAGAGAGGTGTCCGATAGGATTTTGAAGTTATTCGATTTGTGGATCGACGATTATAGAAAGTCTTGAGAGTTTGAGGAAATAGGTTCCTAGTATATTGAGGTGACGATTAGGATCTTTAATTTATAAGAATTATTGTTTATAAGTTAATTCTTTGATTTTGTCGAATTCCAAAGGGGAATAGAATTAAGTTAGAAATAGATTGATTTGAGTTTGTCGGATTGATTCTTGTTGAATTTCATTGAATAAATTATTGTTTGATTTTTACTAAATACTGTATATAGTTTATTACTAGAAGTTTAATTAAATATTTGATTTTGTTATTGACAAACTTTGTCATTATTTAATTCGGTGCACGCTTAAAGTCCAGGCCTGGCACACTAACGCGAATCCGCGTAAAGTACACGTTAGGAAACGGCTATTTCCGGCACACAGTAGTGTCGATAATCGTTGGAAAGTCGGAAAAATAATATAGTACTTTACAACTGGTTTTAGATAGTCAATAGATTTTTATCTATTTTACAACTGGTTTTAGATAGTCAATACTCTTTATTCAATAGATTTATTGAATAAAGAGCTTATCTTTTTAGGAACAATGAAGAAAAACAAACAAATACCTCCAAAATTCCTTGCAAACAAAACCAGACAAATCAATTCATGTCTGTTTGATTTTCAGTATGATTTTTGTATTGCTTAAATACTACCTAAAAAGAACAAAGCTGTAGTCTTTCTTTCCATTATGCATGACTCTTCTGAAGTTGATCAGGAAACTAACGAGGCTGTGATAAATTCGGACTACAATGTTGCAATGCTACTAAAATGTGGTGTAGACGCTGTAAATCAGATATGTTCATCCTACATTACTTCCCAAATCACAAGGTAATGGCCACTAGCTCTCTTTTATCATCATCTCGACATTGCTGGAATAAATTCTATTATATTATATTTAAATTTAATAAACCTGATAACAAGGACAGAAAACAATATTTTATAAAAAATACTTGCCCTAAGTCTCAAAAAAGAACATTTAAAAGAAAATTCTATGATGTTAACACTCCCCAAGGAGATTCACACATTTTTGGAAAAATATAAGGAAAATGAAGGGCTGTACAAAGAAATAGCAAAACATGGGATTTGTTTTATTTGTGGCAGACATAAAAATAATAGAACAAAATCTGTCTGTCAGGAATGTAGTAGAAATGCTTGCAAGAAGCATAGTAACATAGTTATTGTATTAGATGTGCCATGTGTGAAGGTGAGCCATGTGTAAATGTGATGGAGGTGGAGTGACTTCTTTTTTATCATCTAGATGTTTTGTAAGCAATTTGTTCAATAAAAAGTTATAAAATTAATTTCCTCATATATCCGATTAATATTTTCAAAACAATAGTTAATTATTGGCTACAATCAAGTAATATATATAGTGTACTGTAATAGTCACAATGTGTCCTCTTGTGAGCTTCTGAAAAATGCATCCATCAAAACGTTAAGCATTATTTCCCAACATAGCCTCACCAATGCTGTTAATGAGCACTGTCATAAGAACTTGCCAGTTATGGAAACAAACAAATTCATAGTGTAAGTAGGCCTGAAAAATATAATATGAACAGTTATTTCTTGTTGAATGGGATCTTAGTACTTTGTAGAGAATGTTATAAAAGTTACCAAAACTGACTAATTCTGCTGAATAGAATAAAAACAATCTACTTAGTTTTGTTGATTGTTTTTGAACAGTGAACTAATAGATTATTTATAATCCTGCCAAACACTTAATTTCTGTGCATGTTTTGTTGGCTGCAGCATGATGGGTCACAACTCAGCTGGCATTTAGTATTGCTAAACAACTGGCATTTAGTATTGCTAAACAATGAGTTTTGGTATCAGTTTAACTCTGCACAGCATGTACCACAGACGGTTATCTAAAAGAAAACTGCAATCAGACTTGAAAATAGGTCAAGAGCAAATTTTTTGCCCCTTTAAAACTGGAAAAGTATTGGACCAATATGATATATCAATTAATGATCAGTTTAAATTTTTTGAAGAAATTAATAAGATAAAATGTTCTTAACATTTAAAAGATTCTGAAACCTTTTTCAAATGAAAATAATGAGATAAAAATTATTGTATCAAAATGGATATATAGCTAAAGAATACAAAAACATTAGATTAATATTATATTCTACTTTATCAAATTATTACATGTGAATAACTGTTATGTATATGAAATAAAATAATTAAAAATTAATTTTTACCTCATCTACTCCCATATCAACCAACCTCTTTATCTTTACATCAAATTCTGGTGTATTTGAAGGTGCTATAAAAAAATAATTTATGAAATATTTTGTAAATTTCATCTCATTTTTTTCATAAGAATCAAGAAAAAACTAATTAATAAACTAGCAAATTGATCTTATCAATTATAATGCATTACTAATACATTATAATGCTCTACATTTCATAAAGATTTTCCAACTGAGTATATCACTGTTGCTTCAATATATGCCACGATTATTGCTTTTAAGCATTAAATAAATTTCAGGTTAAATTCATTTAATATGCTTGAATGAGACGGTTTGAGATGATTTATTAATAATTGATAAAGGAATATAAAAATATTTATTAGACTTAGAACGTTGAAGTAATTAGAGTAAATGAAAGCTAAAAGAAAACAATTACATTAAAAAATCTGATAATGTACTGAATGACACAGTATTAGTTTGCACTAAACTAAAAATATTTTTTCAGTATAGATTCATTTGTTTTCGTTGTTACAAAATCCACTTTTTTTTAACGAAAAAATTGGGTTAATTCACAATTTAGAATTTAAAAAGTTATATATAAACGTATAATTAATAATTACAAATCATTTTATTTCAGTTTTATTCAACGTCACAGTACATAATATTGAAAACTGAAAATTTTAGAACTATTATTTATATTTTCATATAATTACATAAATTTTTAAAATTGCAATATTAAATTATTCTAAAATTATTAAAAAATGTTTTTTTTCTAATACTTTATTGGAAAACTCCTCTGAATGATTTATTTTTGTCATGCTCAAGTACATAAATAAAAAATAAAAAAATACATAAGTATAATTATGTAACAAGCCACAAAATTTAAGCCATTGATTGGAACCACATTGCATGTTTTTATGCTATCATCGAATATTTTAAAAATTTATTTATGGAAATAACAATGAAAAGTAAAATGATTAAAACAGATATCCATTGTATAACACAGTAGTTACATTCCAAAAAAGTGCTATGTTGTGTGAATCCATACTATACAAAACAAAGGACTAGTGAAAAATATAGGATTAGGTTCCAAAAGTTGACAAAAGTATACTATTTTTTTTTTGTTACTAAGAGAAATGTATTTATTAAAGCAATCAATAATTTATTTCCAATTGATAATTAACTAACAATCACAATTAAAAGTACTGTAATATGCATTAATATTAATTTTAGTTAAATAAGGCTGTTTTCCTTTTACAAAGTATCATCATCATCTGAGATTTTTGTTTATCTTCATAAAAATATCAACAACATCTTCATTTTTTAAAATTTTTATCATAGAAAAATTTTGAATGATAAAATAAAAAATATGTTATTAATCGAAAGTTTGTTCTAGCATGTTGTGTATGTTCAATCGAGCACAGAGATTTTTTCTTCAATTTTTGTTTGAATACTGAATTGCTGGAGTTGGAAATAGTTTGTGTACCAAGACACTGCTGTGTTTTGTTCATCATTTTTATGGAAGTTTAACATTCATAAACTTTCATAATAAAATAATGTTAAACTTAAAGTTTAACACCACTTACCAAAGAAATGTCTAAATAAACTTTACTAAATACAAAGATTAAGCTATAAAAACAAAACACAGCAACAGTCTTAAAGGCTAAAGTCTGAAAGCAACAACAACAGCACCTAGTTGATAGGAAAGCTAGGACAAGGAAGAAACAAATTGCACTATCAGTTTTCATTAAAGTAAACGTGATGAAAGGCACAAAACAAATTGAATATTTTGATATTCTAAAATTTGTGGGCAAATTTGAGACAATATACTTGCTTAATAAAATAAAAAAAATATTGTACAACAGAGGTTGCACTTGAAAGTTGTGAAATTTTGTACAGAGGATCTCAAATTCTTGCACCTTGTTAGAAGAAAACTGGAAACAGTATTGTAAGGGGGATATCCCCAATTTTTGAATAGTGTTGTAGATGTACTGTGTTGTACAAGGTATACCTGTATATTGCTTTTCAATATAAGGTTTAGAATCTTACTGTTAACATATGTATTGTTTTATTACACCTATATTTTAAATAACAGGATTTTCTAATGAAAGAATTAATTCCTTGATGTTTATAAATATATTTTTTTATTTTATTAAAAAAATTAATTTATGTAATGAATTATAGTAAAATTTTTTAAATAGAAAAAAGAAATATGAATATTTAAAATTATAAGATTTGTTTTAGAAGTTACATTGAAATATTTATTATTACAAATTTTATATTTATTCAAAATCTTTCTTTAAATATACATTTTTTTAAAACAAAAACAAATATAATGTGAAATATAATGAAGTTTACTTTATTTAAAATACATTTACACTTGTTTGTAACTTGTGTAAAATGGATATTAACAAATTTTCATAAGAATATAATGATTCAAAAAATGAAAGTTTAATGAAAACAGTTACATAAAGATTACATAAGATTATTATTTCTAAATATTCTTAGATAATATAAATTATCTAAAAATATTAAGTAAATTTATAAACAGACATTAAAAAAAATAATGTTAGTGTTATTACTTTAATCAATCATATGTTAATTCATTCTTCAATAAACTTATAATTTAAGAATTGCTCATAAATTAATTTAAAATTATAAAATTTTTAAAATAGCATACAGTGGTACCTCGGTATACGTCTGCTTTAGAATACGTCCTGTTTGGACAAAACAAATTTTGTTCGGTATATGACTTTTGTTCAGTATATGACTTAATTCAATTATACGCGCCATCTATGAACAAGTAGCACTATCGGTGTACTAGACCAGACTAGACGTTCATGGTCCACTGTTTATAACTTTGTTAAATTTCTTCTGATTTTAATTTGTAAGTAAAATTTTATTATTTTTATTAATCATGAATTGCACAAAGGCAAATGAAAAGCAACAGAAAACTAAAAAAAAGACTACTAGAATCACAATGGAACTGAAAAAAGAGATTGTTGAGAAATATAAAGGTGGCATGCATGTTCGAGATTTTAACTGTTGCATACAGTATTCTGAGAACGACGATATCAACAATCATGAAAAATAAAGACATTATTAAATCTGCTAATGTTGCAAAAGGGGTTAAATCAATTTCTAAACAGAGATCGAAGACATTAGATCATGTTGAGAAAATGCTTTTGCTTTGGATAACTGAAAAACAGTGTGCTGGAGACAGCGTATCAGAAGCAATTATTTGCGAGAAAGCTAAAAAGATACATGCTGATCTCATGAAAAATCAAGCAGGAACTAGCCAGGAAAGCAAGGTGTTTAAAGCCAGTCATTTTTTTTTTTTACGTGAGAACGGATTAATCATTTTTACATTACTTCTTATGGGATAGGTTGGTTTGGTATATGTCCTATTCGGTATAAGTCCAAACATCAGGAACGGATTAAGGTCGTATACCGAGGTTCCACTGTATATTGACTTCATAATGTTCCGTATAAAAGTAACTCATCTTCAAATATAAAATTTTGTTTTCATTTTAATTTTTTTTCTTAACACAGTAAATTGAAAATTATCTGATTTATGTATAACAGAAAAATTCATACATTCTCAGTTTGGTCTTTATATGAGTCATTAACATACTAATCTTTTTGGAATATGTAAACTCTATTAATGGAAAATTACAATGGCTGAAGTAAATACGACATCAGCATGCTGCTGTCAGGATTGAGTCCCAATGAGGAACCCTAAGATTTTTCATAAGCAATCTGTTTCAGATATTTCAGGTCCGTTCCCATAGCCCAATTGCCTTTGTTGTTAGCCAAGCCAAAACCATGGTGAGCATGAGAAAAAAAGACTCTCTTAGTGCCCACAGGACAGGAAAAAAAATAAAGTATTTTTTAGTTTTATTACAGCAACTTGATTAAAACAATATTACCAAATTAATACATATTAAACAACTTTACACATTTACACAACATTATTTACCTAACAATTATTCCATTTTAAATCAATTTAAATTCTTTTTCTGTCTTTATCTAATATCCACATTTTCATGACACTTTTAATTTTTATAAATTATTTTGCTGTGAAATTAATATATTTTCTATTACTCTCATAAATTCATTTTATATGCTAATTTTAATTAATGATGTATAGCAGGTAGTTTTTGTTGCTGGCAGACTAAAACTGGCCTGATCTTGGTAGATACGGTAAATTGGTCTATGTTACTGTTATTCAGTAGCTACAATTGAACCTGTCTATCTTGAATCTCATGGGAACAAGAAAAGAAAATTATATCTTGAAACTTGTTTATATTAGAGGTTCCTACACAGTAAACAGTAATAGGTTAATAGATATGATTAGAAATATATTTTATTAATACAATAGCAAGTACAGAACATACCTGAATAGGTATAAATAAAACATTTTTAACATATCTTAATAGATATAGTTTGTCAATAGTTTTCCAATGCCTGACTTTCTTCAACCAATAAGACACAAACCAAATCTTAGCCAATCAGAGAAAAGCAGCATTAATTGCAATTATGTACTCTATTGAAAGATGTTTCTCAACTGTAATGTCATCAAAATGTAGTTACTGAGTTTTAAATTTGTAATCAACACTCAGTCCATAATTTGATATATAGAGATTAAGGGAAAAAATTATTTCAGATAAACATGGAAAATATATTTGCAACGAGGAAAATAAATTTCAAGATAGAGGTTTTCAAGATAAACATGTTTGAAATAGACAGGTTCAGCAGTATTTTCAGACATTTTTCTGAATGCAATTTAGCACATTTTACTTTTGTGCATAGAACAACAACAGAATAAAATATGTATGTTTCTAAATTCAATGTTTTTAAAGGGTTTTAACTAAATAACTTATTCTGAAACACTTGTCAATGAAATGCTTTAAACCAGTCTTTATTTCAAGTTTACCAATATTTTACTTCAAAAAAGTTACAAGTGACATATTGGTGATATACTGTAGATCAGAGCTTATATAAATATATAATCACAAGAAATTCCCCGATCAAGCATGATGAAATACTTTTTATGAGAAAGTAGAGATTTCAAGAAATTGAAGAGTTGTTAGTATAAACTACTTTATTTGTAGAAATATTATGTTGTGACATAAAAAGCAACAAAACAAAATTTCACCTAAAGCAGACAAAATAGAAATAGGAGTTATAAAGAATTCACTTACACACACAAACAGATTTAGGCCTTTAAAATAATATTAAATCCTTTCTTTATAAAATTACTTTATACACTACATTTAAACACTCTGTTGTCTTTTAAAAGATTTCCTTGCTGTCTTCCTTTAGTAATAGATACCTTAATATTGTTTTGATGATTGACATTGTGATCATGTTTCTGCAGCCCTTGATAAAACCATTTCTTAACTCCATGTTGATAAAACAAAGATGAATTGAATGCACAGTAAAGTTAGTTAAATGAGTGATAACACTTTGTAAATAATGGGCTTGTTATATCATTACTTTCAATTAAATAATACAATGTCACACGCTCACTATGAAAAGTTTTTTTTTAATTTGTTGTAGAAGCGACCCAATGAGGCTATCTTTTTTTAAAGTTCAAATTAAACGAAGTATGTTTAAAATACGCCATTTGCCAAAATATTTAAAAATGCAACTTAAGGGAAATCCCTCATCACGCATGAACTAAATGAGGTCACTGATGTCACTAAAACATAAGTGTGATCACTGACCTAAAATCACTCAAACATTTATTCTATAGCTAATATTTTCAAAAAAATAAGTAATCTATACTTTTTACATCAGAACATAAAACAAATATAACCAAAATTTCATCTGGATTGGACAAAAATTGCAGGAGTTATAAGGAAATCACACACATGCACACAAACAATGGCTTTTATATTAGTAATAGCCTCCAAATGGAGTTGCCTAACCTCTCTCATCTGTTTGTAAGCATTATTCCTCCATTAAAAAAAAATCGTGTAAAAAGTTTTAGAAAGATTCTTAACAGAAAACTCAAATCTACTGCAACAAATTCTGTTTGAAGTGATAATATTCAGCACTAATTGATCATACTAATAATAAATCACTTTTTCCTATTAGAAAATATGCTGATAACAATCACAATTTTCATTTGTAACTAGATAATCTACATCTATTGATTAATTTTTTGACAGGCAATATTTGATGGGAGAAGATAAGACTTCAGTTAAAAAAAAAAAAAAAAATAGTAATATTTCTTAAATATCTGGCAAATCAACCAGTTTGAAAAATATTTCTATTTTTAGAAATACTGATATAGAAAGATTCTCAAAGATTTTGTTTTTATTGCACACTAGCTGCAAGGACCCACTTTGCTGGGTTTTTATTTGTATGTAATATAGTTTTTTTTATATATAAAATACTGTTTTTCTAAGTAATCTAGAATCTAGCTGCAAGGATCCACTTCACTGGGCAAAAAGTAATGATAGTGAAGATTAAGATAATTACATTATAGCCAATCTTACCTGTTTTCACAGAATGCAAGAATTAGGTCCCCCGTTTCCAGACTAATTAGAGAATTTTTACGTCCAGTCAAACAATTTTCAATTTGATCAATTTTCTGGAACGTTTACAATCGTTCTATAATCAAACCAATTCTAATTCAAATACAAATTTGAATTTAAAACGGTTCGAACATTTTTAAAATCAAAATAGAAAATCTTTGAAGTCAACTACTTTAAGCCCCCATATCTCCTGCACCCTTATAGTTATCGAGACGCAACGACCATAGTGCACGAATGGAGACTTGGGGCTACTACCACATACAAACACCATTCATGTGTGATGTGTAGTTTTGGCTGAAAAGTGAAATGTAGGGACACACATCCATTTATATATATATATGTATAGATTACCAATGTAAATAACACATACACACATGAAAATATATAAAATATATCCAATTTAGACACAATATTGTAAACTAATTAAAACAATAAATGTTATAAATTATTAATATAATATTATTCAAATAATTCGGCAATAATTTATTTTATGTTCAAATCTGAATGTTCTAAAATCTGTATTTTCTTAGCACAATGTTGCTGTTGAGAACATATCACACAGGAACACTTTCAGAGGAAAAAGGTTATTTTATTGGTGTGGTATTCTGTAAATTTGTAAACCTGTAATCAATTTACTGTTAAATATGTAATAATAGGACTGAAGAGGGGCATTAAGCCTGAAATGCATATCCGTCCACACCAATAAAATAACCTTTTTCCTCTGAAACTGTTCCTGTGTGATATGTTCTCAACAGCAACATTGTGCTAAGAAAATACATATAATAGAGAACAACAAACATCCAAGATTTAAGAGTTCTAAAATCTCTTTCTGATATTTCACTTAAAAAAACTTTTAAATACAGTGAAAAAAATTTATTTGTTATAGTGAGTTTATTTTATATATCTCAATACATCACTGTTGAGTCTGTTTAAAAAGTTAATTTTATTGTATTGTATAATATATAGGATATCTTTACTCTTGAGTTTAATAGTTAATAACTAGTACTGTTTCCATACATAATGAGAAAAAAAATTTGATATCTCATTTATGTTTATCAAGTTTATATATTGGTTTCTAGTCTGAGGACTTAACATACCTTTTGGAAAATATTCTCACTTGGACACCATACCTTTTGGAAAATATTCTCACTTGGACACCAAGAGATTTTTTGTGGTTGTTCTATTTTATTAAATATGCATTTTGGACAGGTCTGTTCCTCTTCAGTTTAAAGTAGATGCCTTTTGGGTTACAAGTTCTTTTACAACTATATTAATTTTTATTTTTATTACATTCATTTTTATTGGTATATCCTAAATTATTTTTAAAGGTATATTAGATTTCCTAAGAAAGAATTTTTAAATATAAAAAACTCCAGAAATTTTTTATTTTCTTCTTAAAATGGTCTAGAGGTTCTATTACCTTTTATTAATACAATACTTTTACATGTCCCTTCTTTATATGTATATTTTAACTTGAGTTGCTATATTTATATTTCAATAATGATTTCTGTAGTTATCCTCACTTTTGAATTCTGTTGATATTAGTCATGTATTTAAGTTGAAATTTTATGTTATTGTTAACGTTATATATTTCAATTTATAGCTTTTCTACAAAAGTTTGTGCTATTTTTCTTTTTTTCTATTCTTTTGATATTCATTTACATATCATTGAAATTCTGCTTAATTACTCTCCATATCAGTGATAAAGGTATACCACGAATCATGCATTTTAAACCTATATTATCATTTAATCTTTTTTTATGATTTTATTTTAATAATTTTTCTAGGTGTTCAAACCATTTTTTCTTTTATACATATTAATTTCTTTCTTTTTTATTTTTATTGAATCCTTCTTGATTATTATAGACTTCTCATATCAAAAATTTTATTTATTTAAAAAAGATCAGAGAATGTCAAGACTGTAGAAAGAAAATTCATATATAGCATGCTCTTAGAGTTCATTAGGTAAAAAGGTTACAAATAGCAAACCTAAAAGAATGATATTATTGTTCTGGAAAAGTTTGGTAAATATGACTATACATAAAGATAGTTACAGACATATTGAGCTTAAAGAAAAAATACAATTACAAAAAAGAATTAATTGGTTTGAAAAAAAACAAAGTTTTAGAATGCTGTTGTATACATTCTAGAAATGCCTATAAATTTTTCAACCTGTTTGGAAAACCAATTGTTCAAAATTTAATGCCAGTTCTTAACCTCAGACTTTAATGAGAGTCTCTCAATTATTTTAGCAAGGGAACTCAGAAAACAGGACAAACAAAAGCTCATTTTTAATTTATGTAGACAGAATTTTCAACAGACTGTTAATTAAAAAAAATGTAACTTAACTAATTTATTATGAATAACTTAATTATAATAAATTATTAAAATTAAGTTAGTAAAACTCCAAATATTACATTATACAAAATTAGCATTACCTCCAGCATAAACTTGAGCCCAATGTTTTGCAGTAAGTTTGAACATTTCTGGATTTTCTTTAAATTGTTTTGCTACAACAGCATCTTGAGGATCATCTGGTTCTGCTGCTGCTAACAATGCTTGTAATGATAGAAGTACAGTTCTTAATGTCATGGCAGCAGCCCTATAAAAATAAAAACATTATGTAAAATAAATTACTTTTATTACTTAAAAACACCAATGTAATACATTATAATAAAATAAGTATTTCTTCTTCTTGTGTCGATTCTGGCCATCTTTGGACAATGTACAAACAACTAATTATGACTTGTTTTCCCTCTTCCCTTCCCTTAATTCTTCCTTTCTTCCCAATACCTCTTCATTCTCTTGCGCTGCTGTTGTCTTTGCTCCCGAGTGAAGATTCTTCCACGTCTGTTATTTTCCTTTTCCTAAAAACCCTTGAAGTTCTTTATTTTATTTCTAAACCTTTCCCTGTTCTGGATATCATCTTCAGATATGCCCATTTCTGCCATGTCTTTTTGAGTGTCATTGATCCATTGATTCTTATTCTTTTGGTTGTTGAAAATTTGTTTTGTTAGCCTATTTTTCCCCCATTCTCTTTATATATCCAAAGAAGCTTACTCGCCTTCTCCAAATTGTATCAGAGAGTCTTGGGATTTTTTGATAGAGCTCTTTATTGCTCCTTAGCACATAGTTACCATGTTCATCTATTTTTAGCCCCAGAATTTTTCAAAGGATTTTCCTCACTTTTTTCTCCATATTTTCTATTTCCTCCATTTTAAGAGTAGCAATATCTTCTGCTGCATAAAGTGCTTGAGGTTTCATCACTGTTATAATGTCTAATTTTTGTGTTGATGGAAATTGATTTCTTGTTGTAAATGTCTTTGGAAAGTTGATAGGCAATTTCCAACTTCCATGTCCTGGCATAATTTGCCACTTTAGACAACCCGTTTGTTTCAATAATTTCTCCAAGATATTTAAATTTTGATACTTTGTTGATTTCTCCAAAATCCATTTTTAGTGATTTTGGGGCACCTGAAATATTTGTTACATACTCTGTTTTGGACGTAGATATTTGTAAGCCTGCTTTCTTCGCAATTTTTCCTAGGAGGTTAATTTGGTTGATGGCTGAGTCCACATCCTTAGCCAAGGCCGCGAAATCATCTGCAAAAGCCAAGCCATTGATTTTTACTCCTTTGTGTTTGGTTCCTAATTTAATTTGATTATTTATCCCAGCGTCTTGTAATGCTTTTTCCCCATTCTTGAATGATCTTTTCTAGCACACAGTTAAAGAGTATGGGTGAGAGTCCATCTCCTTGCTGAACTCCAGTTTTGATTTTGAATGGCTCAGAAATTTCCTCAAGGAATTTTACTTTAGATTTAGTATTTATAAGGGACTGTTTGATTAAATTTATCAGCTTATCATCTACACCAAATTCATTAAGTGTAGTGAACAAGGATGGTCTATCAATGGAATCATATGCTTTTTTAAAATCTACAAAATTGACAACATAGTTGCATTTTGTCATGCTATAATGCCTAATTATAGATTTTTGACTGAAGATTTGTTCCATGCATGACCTTTCTTTACGGAAACCTCCCTATGTGAGTGTCAACTTGCTTTTCTAGTCTGGTTCTTATTACATCTGATAGAATTTTGTACGTTACTGGGAGAAGTGATATTCCTCAATAGTTATTTGTATCTGTTCTGTCTCCTTTCTTGTGTAGTGGATGGATTAATGCACATTTCCACTCATCAGATCTCTCTTCCATTTCCCAAATTTTTAGAATTATGTTGTACAGAACTTTTATTAGGTTTGGACTAGCAATCTTCCATATTTCAGCTACAATACTGTCTTCTCTAGATGCTTTATGCTTTTTTAATTTCTGGATTGTTTTTTGTATCTCTTCTAAGTCAGGCGGTGGAGAGCTAACATTTTGGGTTTTCGGTTATTGGAAATGTAGCCTTTCTTGGGGCTCCTCACAATTCAGAAGTTTTTGAAAATAATTCACTAACAGTTCGCAGTTCTTGGAGTTGCTTAGTGCTAGTTCCCCCATTCTCTTTTTTAAAACACAGACTGGGAGATTTAAAAAAGAATTACAAAAATATCAAAGTTTTATAAAAGTCTGTTGTGTTATTCTTTTGAAAGGATTCTTCAATGAGTTCTAATTGTTTCCTGTTGCACATCCTTTTGGTATTCCTTAGTATTTTAGCTGTAGACTTTCTAGTTTCTTTGAAGTTCTTATAGTTTTCCTGGGTCTTATTTGAGTACCATTTTCTCCAGGCATGGATTCTATTATCTAAAGCAGAGGTGGCCAACCTTTTTAGCAGGCGGGCCAAATTTCAAAAATAATATTTCCTGTCGGGCCACGCACCTAATTTTTTTTTAATTAAAGTAAACAAGCAAGCGTGCTACACCTTCATCCGCATCGTTGCTTTCCAGTAGGTGAGATCGTGGTCAAACACTTGCCTGATTTAATGTAAAAAAAAAACACAAAAAATAGGTATATTTATTTTTTTGAAGAAAATAAAACATAACTGAGAATCATTTATTTAATAACCGAGAAACATATTTATTAGACAATTTAAAAATTTGACTTTGTTTTACAGAACTAACAAGTAAGTGCATCAAAATTGATCTGGACTGATGTTGTCGCTACACGCAAACAGTTTTCCAAATGAACATCAGTAATTCGTGTTCTCACTTGTGATTTGATATACTTCATGTGACTAAAAAGTTGTTCACACGCATACATGTTTCCAAATAGCGTAACCATTGACAGAGCATGTTTGTAAAACGCAAGATATTTATCCTTGTCCAAATACGTTTCACAGAACTCTTCCAAACCTTCTTAACTCTTCTAATGTTCATTTGGTGATATTACAATAAAGTTAACATTTATGTTCATTTGTCCTAGCTTCGCGGGCCGCAACACGACTCCCAGCGTGCCGCATGCGGCCCGCGGGCCTCATGTTGGCCACCCCTGATCTAAAGCTTCATCACACACTGCATTCCATCATCCGTGTTTTTGGAGGAGCAATTTCCTCAGCTGCATTTGTGATGTTTGTTGATATTTGTTCCCAGTTTTCACTGTCAATGTCCTCAGTCATTTGTCTGAATCTGGAAGACTCTTCCTGAAGTTTTGTTCTATCAATTGTCTTGATTTTTTCTTGGTATTTTTCTTCGGGGAATCATTTTGGTTTTTATTTTTGTCAAATAGCGGTCTGTTTCAAAGTTAATTCCCTTTCTGACCTTGACATTCAAAATTTCTTTCTGATTCTGTTTGGATATTGCCACATGATCTATTTGAAATTCTCCAAGTTCTGAATTCAGGGATCACCATGTTTTCTGTTTCCTTGGAACTTTTTTGAAATTTGTTGACATTAGTTTGAGGTTAAAAGCCTTACAGAGCTCAGTTAATCTTAGGCCATTTTGGTTTGTCTTTTTGTGTGCAGGATATTTGCCTATGATATTCCGAACAGATTTTTCTTTCCCTATCTGCACATTGAAGTCACCCACAAGAATTTTGACATTTTCATGAGGGATTTTGTTTATTTCATCCTCCAATTGTTCCCAGAACTGCTCCACTTTAGTGGGAAGTATTTATTATGTATTAATTTCAATTTTACAATATCTAATATAATTTTAAATGACTCTCAAACATTTACTTTTTTGAAATATAATAAATGAAAAAAATAAACAAACTTACCATTGGTCTTTCAGTATATCTAAACATATTGCTCCAGTTACAGAACTAATATTTGGATGCCATATCTTTGTAACAAATCGAACCTATAATAAAATTCAATTAATTTATTATTTCTAAACAGAATATAATAATTTTAGTAAAAATTGTTTTTTATTAAATATTTGCATTATTAAAAAAATTATTTTTTAGGCTTATAAAAACTGTATAAAAATATATAAATACATCATCTTTTATTCTGAAATATAATACATATTTAGAGTTTTATATGTATTTTATCCTATTAATGCTGAGGTATAATGTATATGATGTTCATTTAATATTGGATGAACAAACAAAGGGAGGACATGTAAGAAGTAGCAAAAGAACACAGAAAGTTGAACTTAAAAATGCTCTGAACTAGTTGTGCCCTATATTGTCATATGAATCTTGAACATTTATCATGGATTCAGGGGAAAACATTTGAAACACTAAAGTAAATAAAATGTTCATAAAATTGCTACTTTATAAAGCCAAAATTTGATTATTTTTGTAGCTGTATGAATGGAATCATAAGATAATTCATCTCTTAAAATTGAGGAGTAAAGAGCCTCAAAGTCTAACGCAGTCATAAATTTTTCTGAAACTTTGTTTTTGCCATCTGATATGACTTTTTTAAAATATGTCACTAAACAAACTGATGAAAATACCAGCAGCATATTTTGAAGTAGTAGATTTAGTATGTTTCTCCTCATTTTTTTTTCATTTTGATAATGTTATGTACAGTACAAACAGCAGATGGTTGTACTTACAGGTAGCCTTTTATCAGAGGTTCTTTTGTGAAATGGTACTATGAACATTTGAAAACTACATTCTTCCTAAGTACAGCCAGGACATATGTGTACACACCAGGTATATGGACAACATGTTGATTATTTGGAAGAAACCAGACATTCAACACTTTATTTCAGATATTAATAGACCTATGGCTTAAGATTTTCTTGAAACAAGATGATAATCTATATGTACACTTTTTAGACATTTTCAACTTGTTTAGTTGAGGCCAGATATCATGAAAATATATATAAATACAGGGTACCACCCCTCTTTATATGAAGAACATCTAATGATCCTATGCATTTTAAACTAGCAGCATTCAGAGCTTTAGTATAAAAAGCATATAAACATGGGACAAGTATTGTGAACTGGTATGAACAAATTTGCTACTTAACTGAGACTGGTAAAAAGCTAGGATATTATAACATGCTTTATGGAGAAAAATCAACACAATACCAAGAGTTTCAACAGCAGTCACTAAAGATGACAGGAACCATAAAAAACACAAGATTGCAAACTACAACACATATTTACATAATGTCTATAGGGAGACTGCATGGTCCACTGATACAAACATATTTTATAGAAAATACCTGATGTATAAAAGCTACCTCTCAAAGATGATAGAGACAAGAGAGAACATGAATATGTTGGTGCCACAGCAAGATCTCTGCTGAATAAAATTAAAGAGCATAAATACACTATTTAGAAATGACTACCTTCTATAGCACTTGCTAGGTACACTATGGAAGATGAGATATCTGCAAAGTGGTATAAAGTCATAATTATAGGATCCTTGAAGAAATGAAATAAATAGGACTTCTTAAATAACTCCAGCAATAAATTTGAATACACTAAAAACATTTTTGATCTACTTAAAACTTATTGCTGGAGTTATTCAAAGTGTGCTGCTTATTTCATTCAGATATAGTGGGTGATTGGATAATGAACATAATCCGTTCCAAGACTTTGTTCACTATCCGAATTGTTCATTAAATGTTTATTGATTTACCATAGCTTTTTATGGGAATTTGATTAATTCATTCTGGAGACCTCAAAACATAAAAAATATACTTTACTACGTTTATTTATATGTAATAATAAAAATACATATACAGTAATACCCCAAACTTACGTGATAGGTGGGACCGAGCGATAACCACATAAGTCAAATTCACGTAAGTTGGGGTATAATTTTGCAATTTGTGTAAAATCCAAGTCGGATGTATGTAAGCTAATAAATGTTCTCGTTAATCTTATCTCATCTTTTGATTCGTTCACAGTTGCAAGAAATCACCACATAGACTCTCTCAAGTCTCCGTAGATATAACAAACACAGAAATAAATAACACAAAATAAATTGTAGCTATGTGTCAATTCCGCGTGACAAGTCCAAACATGTAAGCAGAACAATAGTGTGGGGGGAATGAGTAATCAAGAGTTGCGTTGCGCTCAAACAAAAAACAAATCGACGAGATTTGAAAATCGCGTAACTCCAGGTTCGTGTAAGTCGGGGTAGCATAAGTCGAGGTATTACTGTATTCACAACAGTCTTGTATTTTTATTAGTCATGTTTTTTCCATTTGTGGGGGGTTAAAGAATCTGTCTAATGTTGATTGCCTTTCTCTCTTCAGGATTTTTCAGAAATAATTAATAGCATTGTATTTGTAGAGATCCACAAGCCTATTAACCTTAACCTGGTCTGGTTTGTATGCCATTCTAAGACTGTTGTTCTGACATCCTCCCACTTCTTCAAAACATTATATTTTTTAAATAGCAGATAACGGCATTAATCTTTTTTTCAGAAGAAAACATATCTCGCCAAGTTTCTTAGTGTTCTTCATTCAAGAGTTCTTGGCATTCTTCTGTCATCAGGTCCATTTCAGGTTCTATTATGAGCTCTTCAATGTTCTTCAATGTTCTTTATTTCTCAGATGTGATTTTTGTTACTCCTTTAGCTGCATGAGTCTTTTTGATTATACTGTATCTTTCTTAGATAAGATTAAACTGTGACCTACTGTAGATCTGTTCAAGCCATACTGCCCAGCAACATCAGCATCTGCCCACCTTTACCTTTGCTATTATACTCTCACCTCTCGGAAATAAAAACCAATACAAAACTTAATGAGTGCCCGCCCGACAGTCTCACAAATACTATAAAAATATTGTTTCTGTCAGAAAAATAAAAGGCTGGAATTACAAGGGAGAGTTTCAAAGTACAGAGGAATACTATCCGATCAGTATATACAAGGTTGAGCGTCGATGTCTATATCTCCTGCGCTCTGAAAAGTTTGAGTAACTAACCTAGATGACATAGCTCATACAAATCATACAAGTAAAAAAAAAAAAAAAAAAAAAGAGGTCAACAGGTTGCGCACGATATTGCCTGTAAAAATTAACAGTTCACCCAGACAATGAGTTGATTCCCAGACTGTCTGGGTGGTAACACTATTCTGTGCTCATTTTAATTGGTCTGAATCGTAGGTGCAATGAAAGTATGAAATAAAATGGTTCAAATTTTTACAAGATATTATTATTATTGTTTATTGTAAAATTTTGCCACCCCCACTACACTATGCCACTGTATCTGCCCTTTGAAATTATTGTACTGTCCATCTTAATCTTTTATACTTATGCTCTTTATCTGTAGAAATATTAACAAAATTCACCCTAAGTCAGAATCTCAAACTTTTTATATGTGATCCCTTCTTACAACAAAAAAAATTTTAGACCCCATTTAGCAATGAAGTTTTATGACTCTTTTATGACGCAAAACAAACTTCTGAAAGGGCATAAGTTAAAATTTATGTTTTTTTTCATACAATTTCAACATACCAAACATTAATTATTAACAAATATGTAACAAATTACTTTATATACCATACTTATTTCATAATCATAAACCTTACTTTTCCAAATTTTTTTTTTGAGACCATCTAAAATTTTTAGTCGATTCCTCGAGTAGTTGCAACTCCCTATGCCAAAAACATTTCAGTTCTAGACAGTTCACTAGATGGAAACTACTCTATAGGTACTACATTAATATATTTTGTACAAGTAGAAGCATAATGGCATTTCAACAATGTTTATTTGCACAAATTTTCTTTTTGCATCAGTAGATCTAAAAGTATAGCAGTTAGTGATCTTGAAAAGTATGACAAAAGTGTGCCTTATAAGTGAGAATATACAGTAGTAGACAATCTAAAAACTTCTGAAAATAGTAGCTCCCTAGTGCCAAAAAAAAGACATGAAATACTGTAACAATGAAAAGGTGAGACACAAAAAGTAAACAAAAATTACAGTAAAAACTGGTTAGCTATAGTCAAAGGATTTGACGTGCTCTTATTTTTAATACACAAAAATCAGTGTTTCATTTTAGCACTCTATTGTGAGTAAAACAATTAATGTTGGAGAACATTTTTCTTTCAGTTAAAATACAGAACAAACATTGCAGGAAAACAAACAATGCAGGAATGAAGAATACAATAAAAATTAACATTATATATATGAGTCCTTATTTGGGACTGGAGAAAACAACCAATAGATTCAGGAAAACAATTCATATGGGAATGATAGATCAAGAATCCTCTATACATAACAGAAAAAAAAACCTCGTTACATATATATATATATATATTTTTTTTTTCTTATTCATATCTGGCCTTAAGTATGTTTTTACTTTTGCTTATCAGTTTTCAAATCCTAAAAAACTAGTGAATTTTAATTAAAGAATATAAGTTTAAAAAATTGATCAGATTTAGATAATGAATTAATACAGAATATATTTACTACTTGCAAAGATACTTTATATACATATTGTTAATACATCATATTATTAATTGTCATAAAATAGCACCATATTTTCATTTAAAAAGTATGTAAAACTATGTATCCATTAAATAAATGATTACCTTAGGAGGATTAAAAGGATAAGTTTCTGGAACTTTGATTTCTAAAACAAAATTACCACCTTCGTATGGAGTATCAGGAGGACCAGCTATTTCTCCTTTAAGTTCAGTATAATTATCATTTACAAGTTCTACTCTGATAGCACACTTAGCAACCTAAACAGTTTAAATAAACATAAAAAATTAGAATTGAGTATTTAACAATTTTTAACAATTATTTTAAAACATTAAATATTCTGCATATATAAAATTATTCTTATAATTAAGTTTACCAAATTCTTAAAATTGTGTATATTTTTTATGAAAATATTGTTTAACAGAATAAAAAAGCAAATTTAATCAAAAATAATTAAAAAAACTAACATGAGACAAAGAGCTCAAAATAATAGTGGGAAAAATATATATATCACTTATAGAAACAAGGATAATAGCCCTTGGGTTTGTGATTATGTTTGAGATTCTCCCTAATCAAACATCTGCATTCAATACAGTTCACTGTTACTATTAAATCAAAGTTTCACATCATATAATCAGGCCATACCATGTGGGCTACAGAAATTCCCAAAGTATAATATACAAAGAGAAAAGTCCCAGAACAATATTACAAAATTATTAATTACTTTTGTCTTATATCTAGACTTAAAACTAAAAACAAAATTGAAATGGTTGGTTGATAGAAAGGATAGGAAAAAGGGAAACATAGAACTAATATACTGTCAATCAAAAACCAATAAGGTTATGGGGTTGAAGTTGCATAGCATCCACATAGTTTGTTGTATTTCTACTTTTATTATCTAGTAACAAATGGATTCTATTCCTACTCATAACACTGTAGCAGAGTACATTTGAATCTCTCCCATGCAAAATGACAGAATCTACTATACCAGGTGTGGCCAAACTTTTATCCCTTAGGAGCTACTTTTTTGGTAAAATATAGTCTGCGGGCGACTATGAATATGGGCAAACAATTTTAGGATTTTTATATGCGCATGCATTAACATTCATTTGCATTGTTCATCGGGATAAATACAAACAGTATGGGTACGTTGCACAGACAGTCTATTATTGTAAGAATAAATTATCCAATTAAGATTTTTAAACATTAATTTAAGTGAAAGCAAATTGTTCAACTTTAGCTTCGCGGGCTACTTTCAAAACCTTTGTGGTCAACCGGTCAACTGTGGTCTACGTGTTGTCCATCCCCTGTACTATACAGTCGACCCCTCCTATAACACGGTAGATATGCTCCGTTCTTTATGAAATTGATGTTCTAAGAGTCCTTAAATACATGAGCCAATCACAGCCCGGCACATATGCAGTTTATGGACTACAGCTGTTTGAAAGGTTTCTTCCATAAAATTAATCGATTCTAGACTAATTTGACTCAACATTTCCAAAATACATATAATTTTTTGGGAATAATCCATATAAACTATGCTATAAACAAAAAATTGTAGGATTATTTACCAAGTGTGACCGTTCGATCGCGCCATTGCTTAAGCTTGTTTTCGTCGTGGAGTTGTGCATCGAACGGTGGGCGCATGTTTCCTGATATTATTTTTTTTGCAAAAAATTTGCTGAACTTTGGAGACATCATTAATATAAATATAATTTTTATGGACGTTAAATAAT